CCATGACGTAATCGTGCCCTACTTCGCCTACTTTGACCAGATGAGCTGAAAACAACGCGGTGATGCTCTATAGCACCCAGCTTGCTATCTGAGCGCCAAATAGTTTCCCGCCCTTTCGAATGTCATTCAATATTCAGTCCACCAATGAATCACGTGACTTATCTAAAAAGCAACATTACGGTTTGTAAAATATAACATTCCACTGTTTTAGGGAAAAAATATTTCAAGGAAACTATTAGAGTTAAGCGAATTGAAGCAAACTGTGTTTTGAAAATAATCGATTTGTATTCATTACCTTCAAGTTTTTCAGGTACGCACGTGCATAAGACGAACCAAACTTAGTGAGTTAAGTTCATGAAAATAGAGCGATTTTCGTATGCCCTTGAAATGAAAACTCGCGAACAAAACAGAAACAACAAAAGAACGGAAATAGAGCAATATGATTGGTTTGTCGAACAGATACAAACGCTCGTGGCTTTTGATTGGTTAAGCGAACGCTCGCGTGAAAAAACTTCTCATGCGCGAGAACTTTCTAGAAATCAGTCGATACTTCGCTTTGACGTCATGCTGCAACACCATTGGCCAATCGAAGGATGCCTTCTCCATATTAGGGTTTTCTTTGGCGGGAAAACGAAGAGTCCATGTTTTGATTTTTTCATCCATTGGCTGATAAAACAAAGAATGAACACTTACCGAAAAGACTTTTCAAGGTCGCACGAAAATCGCTCTATCGACGTCTAGCTCATTTACGTTCGTCTGACTGAGTTTGGATCATCCAAAACGTTCCATCCGTTTGAGCAGACGGATAGAACGTCTGAGGATCGTCTCCGAGACAAACATCGACCTTCACATGCGACGAACTCAACTAAAAAATTCCAAATTTACATGACAATGCATTTTAAGCCCCGTCCGGAAGAAAATTTATCACTGATCTGGTTAGCCTGCGTAGCAGGCGCTTGGAAGTAGCGGGCGAAAGAGAGAACGGGCGCGCGCGAGACACGCAAGGGGTGAGGGAGCTTCCTCTCCCCTCGCGTGTCTCCTTCTCGCGCGCCCGTTTTTTCTTGTGCCCACTACTTCCAAGCGCCTGCTACGCAGGCTATGATCTGGTTGACTTGGTTGGTTCGACGCGTTTCAAGTTCGACGTCTGACCCAACAGACGATCTTAACTTAATTTAGGTCGACCAAATTAGAGACTGGTTCGTCTTATGTAACAGAGTTTGACGTTTGGCATAGTCCGTAGTAAAATGTGAGAATATAAGTTATCCTACATGACCCTAATTTCATACCCTTTTTTCTGACTTTGAAAGTCTGAGAAAAACTTACTTATCCCTGAAAACTAATTGGTGATTGGTAGTTATTTTAAATTCAATAAGGACTATTTTCGCCACATCCTCGTAAGCCATACAAAACTACTTTTCTGTTAGAGCTTAAAATCCTTCAGAAATCCAAAGATCTATGACGTTCTTGAGAGGGGCATAACGCATGCGAAGTAGCAAAATGCGAAGCCCTTCATTTATCACAAGAGCGTATTGGTTATCGCCATTGTAACGTATATGGTCTCACTGGTTACAGTTCACTGATATAGTAAAATTCGAGTCCCAGTTTCTCTCAAACACTGCTTGTAACTGCGCTCGTACAGTATTTCCAGTCTCGGTTTCGTTGATGACATAACCAATACCAGCTGTGCCTGTAAAGTAATCCGCTGACCAGTTAGATGTGCCAACGTAGGCTACAGAATCTGTGACCATAAACTTGTTGTGGTTGACACGTGTATATGGGATTTCCTTGCTGAAGGGTGGAACTTTGTAGAACTTCTGTAAAACAAGGTGGTCAAAATGAGTAAAGGTTAATAAACTGCAAACCGCTTTAACCAATACTGTTGTTTTGTAGCTGGAAATTTCTTCCCAACAGCGCGCACTCTCATTGATTACTTCGAGATCACATGACATCTAACAATGAAACCCTTTCCCGCCAAAATCTCTGAGCGGGGAACATTGCAAAAGTCTATGACGTCAGTGGGTAACAGTGCACGGTTCGCCTCGGGAAACATTTGTTAGAACAAGACAAATTACGACATTAACGCGGATTGCAGATCGTAGTTAATTTTAAATTATTATTAAAAACAATTATATCTTAAGGTACAGAAAAACGGGCAGGCAACAGAAACATGCAACACGTTTTGCAAAATTGCTGCAAAAGGAGTTGAATAGCGATGTTTCAAACTTGTCTTCTAACAATTCAGGTTGATGCAGATTGCGAAAATTTGTTGCAGAAAGTAGAGAGTAGTTCTACTTTTTGCAACAAATTCTATATATGTTGCACGTTTTACCGGCCCAAGGCAAACTTGGTTTGCAGCAAGTAACGTCAATCCCATGTATGGCGTGACTCCCGCGTAATTTTATCCAATCAGAAGTCAGCATTCACGCAACTTGCAACAACCTGATTAGTTGCGTGACTGGTTTGATTCGTGGATGGTAAAATGCGAGCAACGTTGAAAAAACAAGTCGCACGTTTGAGTCGCCCGTCACTCAGTTTACCGCAAAATGGAAGAAAGAAAAGAAAAACAATCACTCTTAAAAAAAGTTTTAACGCTTGGTCTAAAGGCAAACGTAATGTTTGACGCTACTAAGACTCTAGCGCCTTTTGGTTGTTGGGTGTAATTTTATGTCACCAACTGTTCATCTGACAAAAGGTTTCCAAAGATCTTCGATCCTTCCTCGGAAAGTTTCCGAAGATCTTGAATCAAATCAACTTTGCACCTACGTTAGACAACTTCAAATGTTTTCCGTGGACACGAATTTCGGGGATTTTATAGTACACTGATCAATTGCGGCACTGAAATTTTTTAAAGAAAATCTATCCACGAATAAGCATTGCGTTTTACCCGGATTCACATGTTTTCATGTTTTTCGAAATCGCGCAAGTCTACTTGTGTTTAGCCGGTTATAGAGTGTATGGGGGCATTTACAAAACGAATGGGTGAAAAAACTTTTGGGAAACATCCAAAAAGTAGCACATTTGTCTGCATTAAGTCCAGTCTTCAGTTTATGCATAATTTATGTCCTTTTTGTAGAAATTCCAAGATATCCCGAATTCCTCTCATAGATTCTTGTGAAACTTCGCACAACAGAAGACAAGCACCCAAAGTACAGGCAGCGTCAAGCATTTCTAAAGAAAATGCCGATAAGGGCTGCAATTCAATTTAGAGCTAACACTATTGTGACGTCATTGTCACTTGATTTTTATTCCGATCGCCCAAAAAATAATATCATAATAAAGTTAAGTCTATGTGTAATACATGTGTTGTAATGGTTTTGCAATAAAGATAAATTTGTTTAAGTCTTAGAGATTCCAAGATGGAAGGTGTACCTACAAAAATACTTGGTCGAGCTACTTTAACCTATTAAATGTAAAAGCAAATCCAATCATGGCTTTTTTTTTTGGTGTATTATTTCTGAACGCCATTTCCCGCCCTTTCTTGAGACGTGATTGGTTCATTTGAATAGTACCCGCCGAGGTGGTTGTATTAAATGACGTACCACTTGAACTGATGCATCATTAGCACCATTGAGAGCGGCGAGCGATTGTAGGTAGTACTTCATATCAGGGCGAGTGTGGTTCCATAAACTGGCTAAAAGTCGTACTTTCACTTTACGGTCAAATGCTGCTCGTCGCAAAGCATCATCTATGACTGGCCAGTACCTGGAAGAAGGTAAAGGAAATTTAAACCACCGTAAGTTTTGACTCTGACTATTGTACGGAGTAAGCGTTTAAGACTATCGTACTGTACAAAAACGTCTGCGGATGAAATCCTAAAGCGTGACCATTCAAGACAAAGCTAATGAGCAGTAAATTCTGAGGTGCTGTTTATTATGCTGTATTAGGTGGTTCTAACGTCGGAGTCTGTGAATAATTCAACTCCTAAAGTGTTGCCGTTTATTATACTGTCCAAGGTAGTTGTAGCTTTTGAGTGTGTGAATATGAATTCTCATATGAAAGATACTGAGCAATATTCTTTCCGTCGGTGTTGTTTATTTTCCAGTACAAGGTGGTTCCGTATTGAGCCTGGATAAAATCTTATGGTGTGATATTCGTCTTATGAAAGCTACCGGCAGTAAGTTTCTGTACATGGTGCTGTTTATCATGCTGTTAAGGTGATTCCCTGGCAATTTTGAGTCCGAGGATGAAATCATTTTGAAGGTAAGTCAAGAATATTTTTAAAGTCCTTTTGTAATATGGTAATATACCTTTATTTTAAATCAGTGTTATGTGAAGTTTCATGTACATTGTACATGTAATATTGTATAGTGTCACATCTTAATTACAGACAACAAGAATAATTCTTGGATTAATGAATATTAGTAACATATTAAATTTTAAACCTGTGGCATTTGTGCATCAAGTGACTTGCTGCCTTTACACCGCTTCAAAACATTTTGTTTGCCCAAAATTAGCATTACCCCATATATAAATGGCTATACAGTCGTCAGCTTTCCAAACTTTGTGTAACCCCTTTCCATTTTAAAAAACAAATACTACAAGGCTACTACTTGAAGTCACAGGCCTAATGAAGTGCAAATTTCAGGTGATGTAACTCAAGGCTGTGTGTTACGACTTTGGGCTAGTTGATTTTTGGCAAGTTGACTGGCAACATACACCTATTTCGAGAAAGATTGTCGGAAAAATATGCACACGACAATCCCGAAAGGTAACATGGCATATGATCAATACACTGTTCCTGATGTACTGTAGCTGTCAAACCTACTTTTGTTGCTTGCCATTAGCATTTACAAACATACATGTACATCCATGGCCTCTTGTGCTGTTCTTTCAAATTTCTTTGAAGAACAATGAACTCAAACCACCCACAATACCTTTCGGGATTGTTGCATGCACTTTTTCTGACAACCTTTCTCGAAATAGATGTAATTTGTGTAAACATAACAATGGTTTCCCAGTACTATCACCAAGGTGTTTACCAAGCAGCACTTTGAAGATTAGTACTACTAATGGTAGTTTATCATTAAACAATAATTTATTGGATGAGGTTTTTGTGACGTCTGAAATGATCAAGTTGTATTTTTAGTAGTATATTTTATTGATTTCTCCATAGCTTAAACAAATTTACAGACTTACAGAAACAAATAATTAATTTAAAAAGGGCAAAAGTACATGAAGTAATAATAAAGTAATAGATGGGAAGATATAAAGGATTCCTAAAGTGGATACGACGAATAAATGCTAATTCAGAAAAACAAAAAAGATAATATAATAAAGCAAATAAAATATGATCTACATAATTTATTAAGTATGAATAGATAAAGCAAATAAGTCAATCTAGCATTTATGTAGGTCGAGTTATTGTGTAATCAGCTGAGCCAAAGGCCGAGGCTGATAACAATTACCCAGACCTTAATTATTTAGGATTATTAGAACAAAAACCAAATCTAACATTATTGTTTTAATATGCATTGTTTTGAAGAAAATAATGACAAACAAATTGTCGCAATGAACCGAATGTTGTTCTTGGAAATCATGCATTGTACGCGCAACCTATAGATTTAATAGTTAGTTATCCGCTAACAGATAACTTTAGAACTAATCTGCAAGTTGCACTGATTTCCAAAATTATCTGTTGGCTCTTAACCAATGAGGAGACAGATAATGAGTACAATGTATAATAATATTTATTACTTACGTTCTGTTCTCTGTGTATAAGGTGGTTGGAAAATAGTCCATCACAGACACATACACAAACTGTTTTGCACTGTCAATAATTCTCAGGATGGTTGATAAATCGTCAGCTCTGTCTGGAGGACACAGTTGCTTTGGAGCTGATGCTAAATAAATTCCAGCTGCATTTGAACCATTGATTTTGATTTGAGCAGGAGAATCTTAAAAAATGATAATACCAGAAATAAATGTTATGATAATAAAAACAGACTAGGTAAAAGCATCAAAATCCCACTTGCCTAGATTAAGGTGGGGGTGTAAATTATAGAGAAAAATATCAGTCAGTCCTTATATATACCAAAAGAAGAAAACATTTGGTGATTTGGTGGTGAAACAATTTAATAGGAAAAGATCAGAAAACATTTTCCTCCCAAGATCACTTCCTCAGCTGATCTGATTGGGGGGTGCAGGGGGGGGGGGGGGTGGATCAGGTGTGGGAAATTCAAAACAGCAATTAAGGTATTTGCACAGGCAAATTTTCAGCATTTTATTTTGCACTCAAAATCTTTCTACAGTAAGTTCAGATGATGTAATATGCATATCTGGTGTTCTTTTTTGAATATACCTTCGCATTAAAGAGAAAATCTACTCAAAAGTTGACTGATTTACCGGAAGTTAAAGAAAAATTGTCATTTCCGTTACTAAGAAAATGGACTGCAGGAGCGCAATTTGACTCCTCTTTCCAGCATCAAGTTCTATTGATGCGCTGAACAAAATCTATTCACTGCTTGGATTCATTGACAAACTACAGCCGCTGTATGTCCAACTTGATTTTTCTTCCTTCTGTTAAAGCTATGATGACTAATATTACTTGCTTCTTGTCAAAATTCGTTATGTTCTTGAAATATACTCTGTTTTCCAGGGCTTAATATTGTTTTAAATTTACATTACATCGGTGTGTCTTCTCACATGATATATTCTGACAATTTTGCCGGGAGAGTAAAACGTTTTCTTGGCCCCTAATCCTCTGGTCTGTTTTTCTGCCAATTTCTTTCACTTTACAGAAGTAATTCTTTTCAATTTTGAATAAAACTCTTCTTCAATCTTCATACTTGGTCGCTTCACTGCATTAAAGCTGACACTGAGTAACGATCTTCCGGAAATACGTCACACCTAGCAACTGGTCACGGATCAAAATCCAAGGGGGCTATAGAGAGGTCATTTGGCATTTTCTTAGGCTTCCACGAGCATTTTACACAGCGGTGATTCAAAATGGCGGGCAAGAAGGTCTGTGATGGTAGTATCGAGGAAAAACAGTTGATTTTGAGAAGAAAATAAGCTTTTTCACACTGGAAAAGCGTTAATTACCGCGTGACCGATTTACCTTGACTTACGGGAACCAGTTTTTTGGAGGAATGGATCATTATTTCTTTGTGAAATTTGGCAAATACACAAAGAGCATGTTAATGAACAGATCTGTGTTTGACTAAAGGTTAGAATTGCCGTACAGCTGAGTTATTGATGTCAAAATATGGGTCAAATTACAAAATAGCAAATTCTGCCCTAGAGGCTGGATTAATTGGAGCTGTGTCGTAGTCAAACACAGAATTATTCTATCTTACGTCCTTATTTGTGTTACATTTCTTTTTTAACAATAACTCTAAGGATTCTTGTGAAATTTTGATTTTTCTCTTTCCGTGTCACCCTAGGGGGTAATTAAATTAACACCTTTTGGGTGACATAACATAGTTTATTTTGATATATTCTAGTTCCTCAAGAACTGAGGAATACTGTCAATGAAGTGACATATAGATATTATCCATAAAACAACCACTAAAAATGATGCAAAAATGTGCAAAATTTGCCTGTGCAGATACCTTAAAGCAACAATGTTTAATTCACTTTGGTAATATTAGAGGAGGCTGCGAGGGTAAGGCCCTGCTGTGGTCAATGTGTTGTGTTCTTGGGCATTACTCCTGCACCCTGGTGTATAAATGGCTAACAGTGAACTGGCCGGGAATAAGATTGCAATGGACTGGCATCAATTTAGGATACATTTTTAGTTATTTCTTTTAACATACAATCATATCAAGTAATCAATTAGTTAGTCAGTGATTTTGTTACAAATAGTTATGGTGAGTCCTGGGACTCATCTTGTGAAAATTCATGAGTCCCTGTCCATAACAAATGACTCCCAGTTTAAAAAAACAAGGAGCCCTAAATTGAAAATGCTTGGGTGTTTATGTAACCAGACACTTAATCTGGAGACAGATGCCAAAACTCGTTATTACATGTACAGTTTACTGAAATTAAAATATAGTACTTCAGTCTATATATTCAAGGCACAAAAAAGACTGCAGAAATTAATATGCATCTTTAAACACCCAACAGCCACAGTAATCACACAAACAGGATATTCTACCAAAAAATCTTCAAATCGATCGACAGTTCCGTTGGTATTCCCAGCCAGTTAATTCATGAAAAAAAAAACTGGCGGGGGATAAGCACCAGCTTAAACATGTTGACACTCAATGATCTGGAATATTGCTCGAATCAATGTCTATACTCAGTGTTCTAACCTGCATTGATAGATGTTTTGTACTTGTCTGGCCATGGATCTGGAATTTTAGACTTTGGTAATGCCAGGTCCCAGTATACTTCAAATATCTTGCTCATATCCTCAGCTAAGCAACTACAGTTGTATGTCATAAGTCCAAGCTCTTGAACCTGCATCAAATTGAGCATAAATTTGATTTCCTTTGGTATTTTATTATCCTTTCTTTTGTCAATCCATACACATGTATTATTAAATTATAGTCTATTTGTATCCTGGCTCTTAGAGTTAGTTTACTTCAGACTGACTGGTCATGTACATGTATCCTGGCTCTTGGTTTACTTTAGACAGAATGGTCATAAATGCCCACTATACTTGTGTGCAAGCAACTTTTAGGATAAAAGCCCGCACTTCTGGTGGGCGTGACCCTTGGTATTTGTTTTCAAAAGAGCTGGAAGCTAATTTTTTGGAATTGGTCGACTCACCACTCTCAACTTACTCCACGGGGAGCAAAGGTGATGCAGTGGTGATAGCACTGGCCTCCCACCAATGTGGCCCGGTTCAAATCCAGGCATTGACACCATATGTGGGTTGACTTTGTTGTTGGTTCTCTCCATTGCTGAGAGAGGTTTTTCTCTGGGTACTCGGGTTTCCCCAAATCTTCAACAACTAACAAATTCCAATTCGACCAGGAATCAGGTAGATGAAGAACCACTTTGTGGATGTGCTACCTGTTTTATTATTAGTTGCTAATATATTTATTACTTTGACATTACAGTATTAGTCAAGACATAATTATTTAGGAGAAAGTGGCTCTTGAGGGAAAAAAATAACCAGGGCTATAAAAAAAACCATGAATTCAATCTTGTCCTTTGGGCATGCACAGTTCACATTTTGCTTACTTGATGCCACTTATTGCTTGTCTTAGTTAATAATTCTATTAGAACATGACTTGCTTTGACCAATGCCCATTAGACAAGACAGCTTTAAAAAGACAGGATTTTTTTCAAGCCCTGCATGGTGTGATTGATAACCGCCGCCCGGTTAGCTCAGTTGGGAGAGCGCCGGTCTGCTGAGCAGGAGGTCGCGAGTTCGAATCCTGGCCGGACCAACACTCAGGGTCTTAAAAATAACTGAGGAGAAAGTGCTGTCTTTGTAATGACATCTGCAAATGATTAGACTTTCAAGTCTTCTCGGATAAGGACGATAAACCGGAGGTCCTGTCTCACAAACCTTGTTCACATATAACTCTGTGGGACGTTAAAGAACCCACACACTATTCAAAAAGAGTAGGGGACGTAGTGCCCGGTGTCGTGGTCTATCCTCATCACTTACATCATCACTCATCATGGGTTGAGAGGGTTCAGTGGGCTCATAAATGGACTGATAGCGGCTGCCATCGGCGCCCTTAGTATGCTGATGTTCGAGCCCACTGCAAAAAAGCTATGTAAAAAGGACATGTATGTTTGTCCTCTCAATCGCGACATTTACATTTACATTTACATTACATTTACATCATTAGTTATTATTATTGTCAATATTTTCTTATCTCTTTGGTCTATTTTGCCTAAAACTCAACTGTCAGATTAGTCTGATATTATGAGTAGCCATACATACTTGTGTAAGTGCCCTCCAGTCCTGGTTTGCACTGCCAACATAAAAGTGCTGACCATCAACCAGCCACATCTTTGTGTGGATGATTCCGCTACCTACTAGACGCGTCATGTCCAAAAGGCGCACTTCTGCTAATTTCTTCTTTTGAAGTTCAATTGT